AAAAAAGGAAAAATAAATGAAATTAATTTTGATGCTAGATTTTATTTAATTCAATATATCCCAAATCATTTCAACGTGTAGTCAATACAAAATTTATTACCATGATATTATACATTCTTTAGTTCTATACAAGTCTTTGAGATCCTGTGTGTATTTTTCACTTACTGCACGTTTTAATTTGGATCCTCAGTTTTCATTGGAAGCATTTAATCTGTGTTTAGATTTCATAAAACTTATAGTTGAAAGGTTGTCCCAAAGTTAAAGGTTTCTTTTTTCTTTAAGTTTTATTTATTTATTTGAGAGAGCGGGAGGGAGGGAGGGAGTGCATGAGCAGGGGATGGGGGCAGAGGGAGAGGGAGAGAGAAAATCTTAAGCAGGTTCCATGCTCAGCACAGAGCCTGACATGGGGCTCAATCCCATGACCCTGAGATCATGACCTGAGCCAAATCAAGAGTCAGATTCTTAACCAATTGAGCCACCCAAGCACCCCCAGAGTTAAAGGTTTATTTTTTTAATTTTATTTTATTATGTTATGTTAATCACCATACATTACATCATTAGTTTTTGATGTAGTGTTCCATGATTCATTTTTTGCCTGTAACACCCAGTGCTCCATTCAATACGCACCCTCCTTAATACCCATCACCAGGCTAACCCATCCCCCCACCTCCCTCCCCTCTAGAACCCTCAGTTTGTTTCTCAGAGTCCATAGTCTCTCATGGTTCGTCTCCCCCTCCAATTCCCCCCTTCATTTTTCCCATCCTACTATCTTTTTTTTTTTTTAACATATAATGTATTATTTGTTTCAGGGGTATAGGTCTGTGATTCATCAGTCTTACACAATTCACAGTGCTCACCATAGCACATACCCTCCCCAATATCTATCACTCAGCCACCCTATCCCTCCCACCCCCACCACTCCAGCAACCCTCAGTTTTAAGAATTCCTCATATCAGTGAGATCATATGATACTTGTCTTTCTCTGATTAACTTATTTCTCTTAGCCTAATACCCTCTAGTTCCATCCACATCGTTGCAAATGGCAAGATTTCAGGGGTTTTTTTATGGCTGCATAATATTCCATTGTATATCTACACCACATCTTCTTTATCCATTCATCTGTTGATGGACATCTTGGCTCTTTCCATAGTTTGGTTATTGTGGACATTGCTGCTATAAACATTGGGGTGCAGGTGCCCCTTTGGATCACTAAGGTTTCTTTTTAAAATTTTTTTATTTAAATTCAACTTAGTTAACATATACTGTATTATTAGCTTCAGGGGTAGAATTTAGTGATTCATCAGTTGCATATAACCCAGTGCTCATTACATCAAGTGCCCTCCTTAATGCCCATCACCAATTACCCCATCCCCTTACCCACCTCCCCTTCACAAAATTAAAGGTTTCTAATAACTGAATACAGTATCAGTTTTTAAATGTAAATGAACTTAAACAAGATTAAAATTTTAGTTCCTCATTGCACTAGCCACATTGCAAGGGTCCAAAAACCACAAGTGGCTAACAGCTACCATATTGGACAGCACAGATCTAGAACAGGGGCTCACAAACTTTTTCTGTGGACATATTTAGGGGAGCCTAATTAGGCTGTAGAGCCATATTAGGGTGTGGACATATTTGGGGAACCTACTACAGGTATGATTATAGTCTCATCATTTTTCTAATATAAAGACATTATTTTCTTAGGGCAGTTTTAGGTTTATCACAAAATTGAGAGGAAGATACAAAGATTTCCATACACCCCCTGCCCCCACACATGCACAGCCTCCCTCATCATCAGCATTCCCCCCACCCCAGAATGGCACTTTTTTTAAACCTAGGATCAACTTACATTGAGACATCATAATCTGGGGCATTGTTTCTGTCTTATAAAGAACATAGAGATGAAATTTTTAAATTCGAGAATCTCTGTTTTTTACTATGTCAGTTAAATCTGTCTACGTTTATCATGATGGTTGATATATGTAGACTTATTTCCACTAAACTGTTTGTGCTTTTTATTTATTCTTTTTCCCCAATAACTTCTTTTTTGTTCTTTTTTTCTGCAGTCTACTTGATCAAATTTTATTTACCCTCTTCCTGTTTTGAATTCTACTAAGTTAAGAGTTATTATTCTTTCTTATTCTTGTAGTAATAATCTTAATATTTTAAATGTTACCTGTTTTTTTACAACTAGCATTTTGGGAATGTGCACACACACACACTTTCAGAAATGTTGGTGTTTAGCATTTATTAACACGGCCGGAACTAAAAGATGAAGCTACCAAGGACATGGGACAGAAGCAGGTACCCCTCTTTATACAATGTATCACTGCATTGTATGCACTGAAAGTCTTATCCATCTGGCTCCGGACAGACTAGGGTATATGTGAAGGACAGCAGCTGTGCATCATGCTTGAATCTCATACTCCCACCCCCTCCCCCAACCCCCACCTCCAGCTCCAGAAGAGCTTCTAGTGTTAGCAGCAGGTAGTCAACAGATATTTGTGGATTACGTGTAGAGTGGATGGAAATCACGTGGTTTGGATATAAACTACCAGGAATGAATCATCAGATTCAACAAACAGGAGACTTCACATCCCTAGAAGTTATAGATTAAAAAAGAAATCTATAGATAATAAAAGAAATGATATCAGTTTATTATGGAAAAGTGAAGAAATACTGATAACTGAAAAGAGGAAAAGTAAAATTAGCCCACCCTGAGCTAACACTGTTAATATTTTTGTGTGCATATCTTTAAAGTCTTTTTTTCCTTCTGCTTATAGGTATATGGATGTAGGTTTTTAATGCTAGTTTCTTCTTCTCTTTTTTTTTTTTCACTCTAGCTGACATCCCTCTAGTTACATTTCTCATGGAACTCATATAATCTCATGATTACTTTCTAGGATAAATTCTTTAAAATAGGCACTGAGCCAGAGGGTTTGTGCCTTTCCAAGGCTTTTGATACATGCTACCAATTGCCTTTCGGAAAGGCGACACTGATTTGCTCTGTCGGGGTTCAGTGCTGTGAATGCAGTAACACTGGAGGGGCTCATTCCCCACCGATAATTGAGTCATCTGAGAAATGCTGGTGGGGGTAGAGGTGGGGAAGGTGAAACTGTTTTTCTTCCTCCCTCCTCTGTGCCAGGCACTCAGCCCACAGTGGTGGAGAGGAGACGGCTTGGAGAAATACTGAAAGGAAGAGGCAAACTAATCTGTCCTTAATGATTTCCATCTGATTAGGGGATTAAGATATACAGAAAACGAGAAGGGGCTGCCTTTGCAGATGGGCAGCACACCTGCATATCTGGGGGGCACAGCATTTCTCTTCTCGGTGCCAAAGCATAGCAAGGCTCAGACTCAGGTCTCCCGACCTTTCCATTTGCATCAGAGCAAGCGGGACACGGGAGATCAGGCAAAGGGGTCATGGAGGTGTGGAGGGCTCCACACTGATGGGGGAGGAGGGTAGACATGAGAGGCAAGGTGCCTCATTCCCACCCAGACCCTGGCTCCAGCCTGTTGTCCTTCCCAGGTTCTGCGACAGGATTTCCTTACTTGGCTTTGATTCTCATTGTCCTTTCCCAACATCGTGGATCGGAAGTTTTGTGCTCTTGAGGAGTCGTGAACATTCTACATGAATGGGACAGCAAGGGACGGCCGTGAGTAAGAATATTATACCTATCTTCTCCGCTCATGGGCATATCCCCCTCTGATCCACCAGACATCACTTACGAAGCCCAAGTTCAAAGATAAAGGGATTACAAGTGTCAAGACAGGAACAGCAGAGCATTAGGCTAAGCCTGGGGCCCTTCCGAGCACGCAGCCCTCAGGTGATTCAGATCCTGAGGCTGGTGCTGTTGGCGCTTAACTCTTCTCTCTACCTCTAGCCTCTGGCAACCACCGATCTGTTGTCCTGCCCTACGGTTTTGCCTTTTCAAGAATGTAATATAAAAAGAATCCCACAGTGTATAACTTGGTGAATCTGGCAGCTACCATGTAGCATGTGCATCCGAGGTTCCTCTCTGCCGGAGCGTGTCAGTCCTCCATCCTGCGGATGTACCAGGCTTTCTGTCTCCGCCCCAGCTGAGGGGCAACCTTAGTCTTAGGGCTGAGGGGCATTCCTGTTCTGTGAATTTTCAGATTAACCTGAATCTGTTTTTTATTTTTTTATTTTTTTTTTTTGAGGCAGATCCTGGATGCCACTGCCTGACCCACGCCCCATAGCCAGTTGCTTTGGTCAGAAGCCCTCTCTTCTCCTTTATGGTGTGGTGAGGAAAACAACATGCAAATGAAGTCAGCGGTGAACTCCAGGCTGAGGAAGGTTTGGGGAAGGCATGGGAGGGGTTTGTACTTCAGGAAAGGCCATACAACAAACAGGAAGAGTGTGCGTTATGTGTGAAGGGTTACCCTGAGCCAGCATGCTGAAGGGAATGCTGACTTCTTACTTTTCCAGTTGAATTTATTCCTTGAGCCTAAATCCCTAGCTCTGAATCGACTTGGTAGACTCTGGTCTACTCGAGCTCTGTGATTCAAAGAAAATTCTGGAAGTCAGGCAGGCAGAGCTGTCACTGCCCTGGTGCCCCGAGGCCGGGTTTGGAGTACGCCAGTGAGCTCCTGCCAGGCTGGACTGCAGGGCCTTGTGTCCAGGTGGAGGGTTGGACCGACCCAGAATGTAGATCATGAAAGAAGACTCAGGTAGCTGAGCCATGATGCTACGGCGGCCTAGGTGTAAAGATGCATCTGAGGCTTTCAATGCTGCCCTCAGCCCATCATGCTCAAGGCTGTTTTGGTGCACGGGCTCCCTCCTGCAAGCCCCAGGGCTCTCCACCTACTGGAGCGTGCTTGGCACCTGGGCAGGCTGGTCACAAGTGGTGGCAGTGAGTAAAATGACGGCCAAGTCCAGTGTGGTGTGTGTGTCTCTGTCTCCCAGAGGCCCCAGCAGGATTGAGCCCTGCATGCCCACAGTGGACACCTTCACACTCCAGGGGCTGGCCCCCTCCCCCCTCACCTCCTCACTTCCTCGGACCACCCCCTTAAAGAACCTTTTGCACTTGAACCTCAGGGCCTGCAGAAGAGGTCAAGCACCTTACATGGGGGTCCAGTGTATTGTGGTGTCAGAGGCTTCTTGGCCTAACCGGTGTGTCTCTGCTCAGATGGCATCCTGGACTCTCCTTCCCAACCGTACCTCACAGCACGGTGACGGCTTGTCCTGAGCACCAGCTAAGGTGAAACTTGCCTTTTCCTCTTCCTCTTCCTTTTGCTTTTTTTTTTTTTTCCTCCTAACATGAGTCAAGTTCCTGGCATAGGGCAGGGCCTCCACGGTCATTGCTTATTATTGGGGAGGGTGAAATGCTGATAGAGCCGCTGGGAATGCGTGCTCCGTATCTGAAGAGGCCCCCAGAGACGGTGGAAGAAACCACATTGAACTCGGTCATCTCGGGATGTACCCTGAATGTTTTGTGTCTTGGCTTTCCCCCCCCCTTGGCTGGGTTGTGGGGCTTTTCCTGAGCTGGGTAGGGAAGGGATAGAGCTGAGAGTGTGGGCGTCTGCCTAAGTCCTCTTGAGGTTATTGGAGAGGCTATTATTTGTCTTTTTTTCTCATCTTACTCCGTATCAACTTGGGGGAAGAAGAGGGCAGGACCCGGTAAGTCGAAGGCTCTGGTGTGGGGGGTCCGGTCCCCTTGGCTCTCCTTGGGGGCCACTCCCGGCTAATTTGTGACCTGTTTGGTGTCAGGTGTCCCACCTTCACCCCCCGAGGCCCCTCCGCCCTGTCCACCGGCTCCCCGCGCTGCCTGCGTTCCTGGCCGTGTCGTTCGGATCCTTCGGGCTCACTGCGGTGGCAGCTTGGCTTGGACTAGCGAGGGCTGTCTCCTCTCGGTCCTCGGTGGAAACTTACTTCTTAAGAGAACAAGCCGTAAACAGCAAGCAGGCTGGTGACCGGAGCGCTCTGTTCTAACAGTGCGGAGAACAGGTACCTCGCATCCCTCTCCCCCAGCCACGCAGCGAGGGGCGGGGCACGGGGAGGGGCCTGGAGGCCCGCATCTGGCTGCTGGCTTCCTCCAGGCCTCAGTCTCCCCGTCTGCAAAAGGGGTGAACAATAATAGCGTTCACCACACTGGAATTTTTTGTTCTACTTTTCTTGAAGAATAACATCCATAAGCACAGCCACTGTATGCGTGCAGTCGACAGATGTTTCCAAACTGAGCACGCTCAGGTAACCAGCATCCAGATGAAGAACCAGAACTTTCTTAAGACTCCTCATGGTCTCCTTCTCTGCAGAAGAGGGTTGTTTTGAGGATAGATGAGCTGATATTTGTAAAGTCCTCAGAAGAGTGCCTAGCACGGAGTAATCACTTTAATCACTATTTGTTAAAAAATAAATGAATTAGAAGGGAACTTCGGCTTTCTGAGGTTGCAGCTTCTTACTTTATTTTAGTGAAAGCACAGCTATCTTGCAAGTTCAGGCCCCCGCTCTCTCTCTCCTTAACGTGCAGCAGGCAGGATGAATTAAGACTCTTCAAAATAATCAATTATTTCCTTATCACAGAAGGCCAGATGGTGCATTATTCGGCAAACAGCTTCTGTGGAATGCCAACAATTTTGCTTTGATGAGAAAAGAAATATGCAATTAGGCTGCTGTCATCCTCAACAAAGAGCCAGATGTACGGCAGCCAGCCCTCCAGGAGGAGCCAACACAGCCTGGGCCCAGGTTAGGGGTCCGGGGGTGATGGGGGAAGGAGGTCTGGAAGGCACTTTGTCACCTGCACATGCCACGAGAGACACAAGGAAAACTGGCCTGAGGACAGTTCCCCTGGAATTGGCCAAAATGGCCTGAAGCAGGGTCGAAGAGTTAGTACATGCACAATTACCTCCACACAATGTTTTAAAACTTACAAGCAGAGGAAATGGTTATGCCATTATGGTGACGTGTTGTACTTTTATTCAACCTTGGAATACATCTGTGTTCCTTCCCTTGTCTTTGTTACACAAAGCCAATTAAAGAAAAAACATCAAAAAATCACATTGAACCATTTAGAAGGGGGAAAAATGATGGTTAATGACGTATTTTCTAGAACACATGAAATTCTGGGAAGGTCGTTAAGTATTCTCTTCTACCATCACCTGGGACCACTTATAGAGCTATAAAGACACAGGGAAGAAGGTGAAAGAGGATCTGGAGACATCTGATTGGGGGAGGGGGGACGAGAGGGCAGGAGGCAGCTCCTGGAGGTGTTGGCGTATCATGTGGCCCTGGAAGGTACTCTCACATTTTGCAGGGAGAGGCCTGGACAGTAAGAGCAGTAAGGGAAACAGCCAGGTACTGGTTTCTAAAAATTTATAACATTCTCTGGAGGGCAGAGAGACCTTTTTAAATCTTAGATCTTACTGATTTCTCTGGACAAGGGTAGCCAGCGATTTTTTTTTAATTAATAAGTAAATTTGCTTCTGAGTTGTAGGTCCATGTTCCATTTTCTGGAAATCAAGAGCTTTTTTTTTTTAAAAAAAAGATTTATTTATTTATTTGAGAGAGAGAGAAAGAGAGAGGGAGTACGAGTTGAGGGGGTGGGACAGAGGGAGAGAGAGAATCTCAAGCAGATTCCCCACTAAGCATGGAGCCCAATGTGGTGCTCCATCCCATGACCCATGAAATCATGACCTGAGTTGAAATCACGAGTTGGTCGCTTAACCGACTGAGCTACCCAGGCGCCCCAAGACCATTTTTATTAGGTTTAGACTCAGTCCTCTTTGGGCATGTCTCAGAGGCCAGAGCTGCTTCCATGGTGTAGAATGCCACCACCATCCCTGAGTGGGGCCTCTGTGTGTCTCTGTTGGAGGAATTTGGTATAGAGAAAGGTCCAAATGGGAAACCAACTGGGGATGTCATGGCTCTTCCAGCTCTTTCTTCTGTCCAGCCACAAAGAAGTTGGATGCAGTCCCCTTTACCTTAATTCAGGGTTTTTTAATCAAGAAGAAATGTAGGTGACTTGGGTGTGTGTGCATGAGGGAGAGAGAGAGAAAGAAGGAGGTAGAGAGAGTACTTCATTCAATGCCTATGAATGTCTGAACTCTAATAACTTGGGTGTGCAGATTCCATAGAAACAATCCATGTATGATGTCCCAAAATAATTTCATTAAAATCAGGGCCTTACACTGTGCATGAAACATCCGGATTTCAGATCCTGTGCAAATTGACTGTGGTTGCTGTGGGCAGGAGGAAAGTTTATGTCCTTCAGCTAGTTGAACTGAAGTCCAATTGGCTGGATTGGACAATTCACAGTTTCTACTGTAGTCCTATACTAACTCAGCAAAAAAAAAAAAAAAAAAATCAAACCATCAGGTTGTTAAATTTGTAAAAGTCTGCAAGGATTTTGTGAACTCTTTGCATTAGCCCACTAATTTTTCCAACTTTCTGATATGAGATGTTCAGTCTGGGTTAGAGTGTTTCTCTTACCTCTTAGGCATTAGGGCTCCCAAAGGTAGGTAGGTGAATATACTGTTTATAAGGATTTGTAAGGATATGAGGACGGGGGTAGATTATGAATTGGTGAATATGGGTTTCAAAGTCTGTCTACATTCCCGTCATCCTCCAGTGTTCTGTCCTAACAGAGGGAGCATGGCGTTCTGCTGAGGCACAATCATGCACAGCTTAGATGTGCCTGAGGCTTCCCCTAGGAAGAGTTATACAGCCAATGCAGGTCATCATCAGTGGTAAACTTGAGATGGCACTAAATTCTTTGATACTCCTCCCATTGCGAGGTGGCTGCTAATTCCCCTCTCCTTAATTCTGAGCAAGACTTAGTGATTGGTTTGTCCAAAAAATGTAGTGAGGGGAATATGCTGGAGCTCCTGAGACTAGGTAATAGGAAAACGTTTGGCTTCTGCCCAGACTTCTCAGAACGCCCACTCTTAGACCCAGATCCCATGTTGTAAGGAAGCTCAAGACCTGAAGAGAAGCCCATGTGGAAATAAACCAAAACCCCAGGATGCCAACTCTGGCTGAGCTCCCAGCTGACAGCTAGCGCCAACTTGCCAGCCAAGTGACGGAACCATTTTGAAAGTGGATACGCAACCCCAAAGGAGTTGCTCCAGGTGATGCTACATTAAGCAGAGATGAGCTGCACCCTCCAAGTCTTGTCCAAATTACATATTCATGAGCAAAATGACAGTTGTTGTTTTAAACTACTAAGTTGTTGCTGCTTTAAATACAGCAATAAACAACTGGAACACCATCCAACAAGTTCTGGTCTACAGTGTGTTGGAATTCAATTGCCATGATTGGTCTTTGGGGGCAAGAGGGTGCCTGGGACTTAGGATTCATCTCCATGAAGCTGGGACTCACCGGCTTCTTAGTTTTGCTTAACTCCACAGAAAGCAGACTCACCTTGTCAAGCAGCTGGGACATGTTGAAGGTGAGTGGGTTAAGCATCATCTTCCTCTTTTGGATTAGGAGAGAGATGTTGGGGTTTCTGTCTCACTCAGCCTTCTTGGAGAGTACATAGCTGTTGAGCAGTCCCTCCTGGGGTGGAAGGTTCGTCTTATCTGTGATCTTGTGTGAGATTCCATTCAGAGCTTCCTGTAGGAGCCATTGTTGAAGGGCTCCTCCTCTGCTCTTGCCAGCTTGTTCTCCATTCTCTGGGCAGGGTGCGCTACTTCTCCACCCTCATGCCTGCTAGGAGTCCTTTAGAATCAGACATCTGTTTCCACACTGGGTAAAGTGTCTGGCTGGCCACGATTTTTCTCTGCTTTTCCTTGCTGGAGTCCTGGGGGAAACGAAATGCATTGTCTAGAAGATGCCTCTTGGAAGCTCTGGGCATCACTCGTTGTCCAGGGCAGAATCTATAACCTTTATATCTACATTCAGAGGATTCTTTTTTAGGATATCATCATCATCACTGAATTGAGTGTGACTAATTCTATTCCACCTGAGCGTGAGTTCTGAACTCCGCAGAGTGGGACCTAGTTGAGTTTGGGTTGTGTGTGCGGCGGGGGGTGGGGTGGGGTGGTGCAGGGCTGGGGAATGAAGTCCTCCTGCACAGGGCTCTGGCTGGGGTGGCCTGGGGAGTTACTGGGGGTGGAAGGTGTCACATTCTCCCCTCCTTTTCTGAGTGTCCATTCACTGTACTTTTGCATGATGTGATGGAGTTCTGGGGTTCATTTCTGCAGAAGGTCACAGGAACGCCTGACACAATGGGACATGACCACTCTGTCACCCCTCAGTAGAGGGGGTAAACCAACAGAGTTAAAATAAAATGCATGCCCTTCACCCTAGAAATTCCACTCCTAAGATAATTTTAATGATTATCTGCTGTGCTTTTTTAGTGGAAAATATTTAAAATATCATGAATACACATTAATAGGTGATTGATTTAATACATGGAAATTCATTCTTTCCAGGGAGTGTCATGTTGCTTTTAAACATATGTATCAGTTGATAAAACAATGTAAGAGTACATGACACATACATGCTCAATAGCCAGTGGTTTTTGTTGCTATAAAGAGAGAAAAATAAAGATGCAAGTAGATAGCTGTGTAATACATATATTATATAGCATATGTACATATATATGTATGTATGATTACACTGTATCTGTAAAAAAACATTTAAAAGTCCTTATTTGTGTGCACACATACATGTATATGATTAAGTGAGCATAGAGAAAATTGTGGAAGGGTACAAATCAGGGAATGGGAGCTAAGGGGGGAGAAAGACTAAAAACAAAGAAAAGTTTCCAGAATGAAACAACTTGTATACTACAATCCCACCTTTCAAAGTTCGTTTGTGTGTATACCCAGAGGGAGAGAGATGAAAAATTGTTATCAAAATACAAGTGGTGGTTACCTTCAGGTAGTGAGTCTTGGAATTCTTCTTTTCCTAAATTGTTCCTCTTTTCACCACTTTTTGCGTTTTTAAAACAATGAACATGTGTTATTTATATAACTGGAAAATGAAGGCCATTTTCAATTTTGAAGAAACAATATGACTAGCAAAACTTTTTCTCGTATCCTTCAATAATTAAGAAGGAACATATGAAGAAGGAGAAGAGGAGGAGGAAGAAGAAGGAGGAGGAGAAGAAGCAGCAGAAGGAACAGAAGGAGAAAATGATAAATGACTAACATTTACCATCAGACCCTTACCACGCATCTGACACTGTTTCAAATCTTTGCATATGAACTTACTCTCTCTTGACAACTTTGTGTGGGGGGAAAATGCTATTATTGTCCCTATTTTACAGATGAAGAAACTGAGGCACTGAGTAATTTCATAAGCTGCTGAAGGATACACACCTAGTAGGTGCCAAGGCTGGGATTCCATCTGCAAGAACTCATTCCATATGCTCTTCTTCTCAAACTTAAGAAATACTGCTGGGCTGTTAGAAGTGATGGACTTTACACCTGTAAGTGTTCATAAAGGCTTCAGATTCTAAAGCTGCTTTAGGTACTCCGAGTTTATAGGTACTCATCTTAAACTGGAAATTTGCACCCTTTGACCAACATCTCCCTACTCCCCCCACCCCACCCCTCCCATTCTACTCTGTTTCTATGAGCTTGGCTTTTTTTTAGATTTCACATATAAAGAGATCATACAGTATTTGTCTTTCTCTATCTGACTTACTTCACTTAGCATCCTGCCCTCAAGGTTCATCCATGTTGTCCTAAATTGCAAGATTTCCTTCTTTTTTATGGCTGAACAATATTCCCCATTATATATATAGTATTTTATGGTTTTATTGATGGCTGAATAATATTTCGTTGTGTGTGTATGTTATATATCCATCCATCTTCTGATGGACACTTAGGTTACTTCCATATTATGGAACCGTGAAGAATGTTGCAGTGAACATGGTGGTGCAGATATCTCTTCCTGACAGTGATTTCCTTTTCTTCAGATATATTCCCAGAAGCAGTATTGTTGGATCACATGGTTCTATTTTTAATTTTTTGAGGAATTTCTACATTGTTTTCCACATTGTGGCTGTACCAATTTGTGTACAAGAATTCCTACCAAGAGTGCACAAGGGTTCCCTTTTCTTCACATGCTCACCCAACACTTATCTTTTGTCTTTTTGGTAACAGCCATTCTAACTGGTATGAGGTGATATCTCATTGTGGTTTTGATTTGCATTTCCCTGGTGATTAGTGGTATGGAGCGTCTTTTCATGTACCCGTTAGTCATTTGTATGTCTTCTTTGTAAAAAGGTTTATTCAGGTCCTCTGCCCATTTTTAAAATTGAATTAGTTTTTTATTTGTTAGTTTGTTTTGCTGTGGAGTTGTTGGACCTCTTTATTTCTTTTTTTTTAAAGATTTTATTTATTTATTTGACAGAGAGAGAGAGCATAAGCAGGGGGAGGGGCAGAGGGAGAGGGAGAAGCAGGCTCCCAGCTGAGCAGGGAGCCCCATGTGGAACTCGATCCCAAGACCCTGGGATCATGACCTGAACCGAAGGCAGACGCTTAACCAGCTGAGCCACCCAGGTGCCCGTGGACCTCTTTGTTTCCAATGCTGTATCACAAAGAAAAAATGCTGGATTTTTAAAAGAGAAACAACTGACTAGAAAGCACAGAAAAGGAGATGATAGAAATATTCTAAGTCTTGGTCTGGGTGGTAGTGATAGAGGTGCAACTTATAGGTCCAATGTCACTGAGCTGTATGCGTAAGATGTATACCCTTTTCTGCATATAAATTATACCTCAAAAAATACAGTTAACAACAGGTATATGAGATACACTAGTTGGGGAGACTGTCATGTCCTCAAATATCTTCAAAACAAGATGTGAGTAGAACCATGGAGGTAGTGTGGACTGTCACACATGGGAGGGGTCCAATCTGTTCCCATAAGATTGTTACCATGATCTGCATTTCTTAGCCAACCATCCCAGTAACCTGAAACCATTTTGCTTCATCTTGGATGGCTGGTGGGTAGATGCACCTTCCTTTACCCAGTCCTCCTACCCTGAAGAAGTGGGATTTTGCAGGTAAAACGCATACACAAAGGGCATGGGAATAGATGCTGAGAAGAACAAAAGAAACCGAAAACACAGTTCTGCCGAGTAATGCACTATCAGAACAAATACAGAACTGTTTAAGTCATATTAGGTATAATCAGAGCCCAGAACAAGTAGTTGGGTTAATACATAGCCATTTCTTTGGCTTTGGGGGCTCAACATTCTGAACAGGTGCCTGGGTATCAAGCTTGCATCACCCGGGAAGCCTCCAATATTTTCAAATATTAACTAATATTCTTAATAATCCCTTTCTCATGGCCACTCAACCCCCTCAGACCCATGCCTGGGCTCTTGGAGCTATTTCTCACCATAACTGAATAGGGTTTAGAGCAGCTCCTGGGGTGACTTCTTATTTTGAAAGCATTGTTAGCCTTCTAACACCAGCTTGCTGGGCTTTTCGATTTGGTACCTGTACCTGGTGTTAATCTTCCTCTGTTTACATGGAATTGGGGTGTTTTCTCCCCATGTCATTGATCTCCAATATTTTTTATTTGGGGAAGTTATTTTCACTGTCAACCTTCACTAAGTGCCAATAAGATGGCAAAAGCAGAAGGCTTTTGAAAAAATCTAATAGTAAGAAATCAGTCAGACTCTTTCCATTCAACTATGTTCTTTTTGTATGTGGATATAGCTTTATTTTATTCTTTTCAAGCCTTGTTATGGCACAGAATAAGCATTAGAACTCAGCCCTCCATGGTGGCTGCTCTTTGCCCTGCATGACGAAGGGAAGAAAGCTCTGAGCCATTCAAGATGGGAGAGGGGGCAAGCAATGGAACAATATTTACAAGCTGGTCATTTAATGTGGCTTTGGCAAAACAACTTTCAAGAGTACCCAACCTCCTTCATTTCCCCCACCCATGTTTTTAGGGCATTTTGTAATATACTGGTTTTAGCCCATTTAGTTCAAGTGGTTAACTAGGGATGCTGGTGAGGTCAAGATCATATGGTTATTATTCAATATTGTCCAATATCGACCAGTGGAGAGGCAAATTTATGCAATGGTAGAAGCCTGGGTTCTAGAACCAGACAGATCTACTATGACCCTGGATTGGCTAATTAACCTCTCTGAGTCAGTTATAATGAGCAAAAATGAATAATATTATCTAGTTTTCAGGGTTGTTAAAGAGAATTAAATGAGATGAGGTATATACATGTCTGTCCTATATTAGTTGCTTACCAAATAGATATGCTTTTATCAGCTTGTCTCAAAAAAAAAATGTTTCCAAAACTGCAGACAACATCTTACCTCTTTCTGGCCAATTGTCTTAACAAAGGTTGAATCTCTAGCACCAAGGGAGTCCTGGGTACATAATATGATTTCAATGAACATTTAAATAAATGAAATGTGCATCAATTACCTATAAGGATATTTCTATTTGTGGCATGTTCTGTGTTCAGCAGAGAAACTCCCTTACTTCTCTTCTTCAGGCAATGGTATATCTGAATAGGTGTAAAGTGGGTTCTGGAGGGGAAGAGGGAAAACTGTGTTCTCATGAGAAGAAAAGGTGGGGACCAGGCCCACCAGATGATCCCAGTCACTCAACACATGTAGGGACATTCTGTCGTATCTATCCTGGGCTTCTGGAATAAGGGCATGCCACTCTACTGGGCTGCCTGGCCTCCCTACCCTTTCTGTGTCCAGACATGGGATGTGACCTTCCCTCCTCTCTTTCCAGATATACTGTGGAGCTCTTCCCAACTTGATGCCTGCTTTGCCCTAGTTTTCCACCATCTTGGCCCCAATTTTCACTTCTCTGCAAGACGGATCCTTAGAACTGATGCTTTCTTCAAACTGTATCTATCAGGGAAAGAGAAAAAATACTGGAAATAGAGTCCATATTGAACACACAGAGACAACAGGGACAAAAGAAAGGGAAGGTTTAGATAAAAGTGGGGTGGGGAGAGACAGAGGCATCACTGAGTGAAACCATGTTTACGATCACGTCCCAAAACAACAGAAGAGGGAGCTTGAGAGTTGTGAATTCATAAAAGTTGTCCTGGCCCATCTTTTCATCCTAAGGATATGAACGACTTAATCACTCTTGAAGATGAGCCACAGAAAAAGTTTAGTTTGATTCCTATGCAAAATTATTATAAAGAAGAGAATGTAGAACCGAATAACATTTTTATAAACAATAAAGGCAGCAAGAAAGACATGCTCACAAAGATGATAAAGACTAGAACCACATTTTTTTATAATTATAATTTTTTAAGTTTATTTATCTTTAAGTAATCGCTACACCCAACATGGAGCTCAAACTCACAGCCCCAAGATCAAGAGTTGCATGCTCTTCTGACTTAGACAGCCAGGCGCCCCTGTAACCACATTAAAACAAGCTAACAGAAATCAAGGAAGTGATAAAAAGCAATAAAAGCATGAACCAAAGTTAGAAAAATTAAGAAAACAAATGACATAACAAAAGGAAGTTTTGAAAAGAAAGGAACAAACACAGTATGAATTAAATATAGGAAAAAATATTTCAGAAGTTTGAAGATAAAATTAGAAGGAACTCAAAAGTAAAATATTACCATAAATAATGGTTTAAGAGAAAATTTGCAAAAGAGGAAAATCCTTAGAATAAATAAATGCAGGGGCACCAGGGTGGCTCAGTCGGTGAAGCATCTACCTTCAGCTCAGGTCATGATCTCAGGGTCCTGGGACTGAGCCCTGCGTTGGGCTCCCTGCTCAACAGGGAGCCTGCTTCTCCCTCTCCCTCTGCTGCTCCCCCTGCTTGTGCTCTATCTCTCAAATAAATAAATAATATCTTTAAAAAAACAAAATAAATAAATGCAAAAAGAGAGAAACATGATTTGAGAAAGTAGATATAAAAAACAAGAAAAATGATCCAACATATATACAATAGGAAGCCACAATGCAAAAAGCCAACACAACGAAGGAGACGGATACTACAACTATAACTCAAGAAAATTTTTCTGAAATAAAAAGACACAAAACTACATATTGAGTGGACACATCATGTATATGGGAAAATCAACACATACAACTGAGGGGAAAAAAGCTTGGATAGCCAGGCAAAAAGATCAAGTCACTTATAAAGGAAAGAAAATCAGATTGCCATTAGATTTTTGATGTAATACTTTATGTCTGAAAACAATGAAATAATATCATTAAGACATTCAAGGAACATAAAAATATGAGCCAAAATTTTTTTTTAAAGTCAAGAACTTCTTTTATTTTTTTATTATTTTTTAAAGATTTTATTTATTTATTTGAGAGAGAGAATAAGATAGAGAGAGCATGAGAGTGGGGAGGGTCAGAGGGAGAAGCAGACTCCCTGCTGAGCAGGGAGCCCGATGCGGGACTCGATCCCGGGACTCCAGGATCATGACCTGAGCCGAAGGCAGTCGCTTAACCAACTGAGCCACCCAGGTGCCCAAGAACTTCTTTTATTTTAAAATAAACATTGAAGATATACCCCCCCTTCCCCACCACCCTACAAAAAACTTTTGAATGTGGAATGTTCAACAGCCTATCCATTTTAGTAGGTTACAAAACCAGCAAAAACTCCAGTTGTCTAATAATGAATGTTTGAGAATAGTTTTGTGTCTTGTTTTTTGTTTTTCTTTAGTAGCTGAGCACCTACTGGAAAAATTCCTTAGCTAAAGGCTAATAAAACAAAATTCAGTTTCTGCACAGAAAATACCATTCACTTAGTATTAGTAGCCTTTGCTGAATAGATGGGATTAATTCTCCATGATGTCAAAGTGGGATATGACAAGCAGCATTAAGTTCATAGGCACACAGACAGAACAAGTGCTCAAACTGCTAGCACAAATTCCAACAGTACATAAATTACTAAACTGTCATCTCCATCCAACTTGTGACTCTCCCTATGCATCTAAGTGAAGGAATCACCACTTCGAATATAAACGCCTCCATGAGAAAAAGATAATTCAGTTAGCGTTAGACAAAAGATAAACGCAACTGCTACAGAAATAGCTGCTGGAGATAACCATAAATTTGAAACACTAACAATGCATGGGGTGAACCACATAAGCTGCTAGCTGTTGAACACCAGTGTTTCAAGATACAACTTTTATAAACATGTTTTATTTGTTCTGCTTATACCATCAGAACTGAAACTACTGTCTGTCATTTCCCTAAAATAGGGAAATCAATCTAAAACACATACTGGTGCTTTGCAAAAGATAGCAATTTAAAAGGGTGGTAGCAGCAGGCATTTGATATTTTTCTTTTAAAAACCTTCAGGCTGTGGGGCGCCTGGGTGGCTCAGTTGGTTGGGCGACTGCCTTCGGCTCAGGTCATGATCCTGGAGTCCCGGGATCGAGTCCCGCATCGGGCTCCCTGCTCGGCAGGGAGTCTGCTTCTCCCTCTGACCCTCCCCCCTCTCATGTGCTCTCTCTCTCATTCTCTCTCTCTCAAATAAATAAAAATCTTTAAAAAACAACAACAACAAAAAACAAACAAACAAACAAAAAAACCCTTCAGGCTGCAGGAAAAACATGTGACCAAGGGTGTTATGATTATCCATTAGATATTTTCATCAGTACCTGTGCCAATTTAGGTGACAATACAGCAAGATCCAAGGATTAGTGACAGACAATGTACATTATAAGGAATGATAGATAGTGCCAATCCTTACAAAAGTCATTGTCGAAGAAACTGTTAAGTGTTCAAAAAGGTATCTAAATACTTCACATTAGGTACAGAAGCGGCCATCCAGATTACATCCCATATTTGTTGCATATTTTTCCAAAAAGTGCCAATCAAAGCCTATTTTGCATTTTGGCTTTGTCTTATACAGTATCAGCTGTTAAAAAGCAATTTACATGTGCTTTTAACCACAGTCGTTTGGCCAGAGGATGAATAGTGCTGTGTCAAAGCCGGTAGCCAGCCTTTTGTATTAAGGGCCCATACAGAATTTGGTATGCATCTAACGTTCAGTGCTCCAATTTAACTGGAAAAGCTGTGAAATGCAGTTGTTCTGCCAAACCACACTCCACTCCTTCTCAAAAGGAAAATATTTTAGTTTTGTCCATTACCATCGAATAACTCTAGGGCTGATTTGTAGATTTTATCCAATGTCAAAGTCAATCTTGCTTTTTCCAAGCCACTTCAGATAACTACGGAGAGATCACCCTGTAAAGTGTATTATGTTTTACTCCTAAGCAAGGGTGAGGAATCTCAGTATCATGTGCAAGGCTCAAGATGACGCTTAGGACAGAACATGCAGAATAAAAATAGTTGCCTTCCATATCCAGGTAATATAAAGCTGACAATTGTAGTCCTGTCTTTATGGGATGAAAAGAGTCCCTTTACAATAAGTTTCCTGAAAGGGAGAACAAATAGATAATAACTCTTCTGGTAACATATTATGGTACACTGGCCAGTGTGTTTTGGCGTTTAAACATAATCCTGTGAATCAGATTAATTCACTTGCTGAGTGTTCATTTGCGGCATCCCTCTGTTGGGTCTTGGGGGCCCTCCACGACCTCGTGGGGCTCCCCGTGGTCCACTCTGCCCAGAGCCTCGCTTGAAATTCTGCTGATATCCATCCCGCTGATAGCCAGAGTAGTCCCGGGGAGCCCTGAACTGAGACTGTGTATAACCACTGTTTGGAGTGTTAGAGAATGAAGGGCGGTAACCATCATATCCTCCTCTGAATCCATTGGCAGGGCCCCTGTATCCATTCATCAAACCTCTAGCACCACGGGAACCACCACGAGACACACCACGACTGTTATAATAGGGCTGACTGCTACGTGGAAATCCAGTGTTCTGCTGGGGAGGCTGCTGGTGGTTACCAGTCACTTGATGGGGCTGGTCCTGGGAACCATGGTAGGTGCCAACCACTGTTTGAAGCTGTTCTTGCTGAAGGTCTGTTTGTTCTGCTTGGTGAGGCTGACTAGAAAAGCTCTGGTTATAACTGGCCTGGTACTGATTTTGCTGTTTCAAAGTTTCTGGTTCATTAACAGGAGGAACTGGGGCATTCATACTGAACACCGTTTGCATGGATTGGAATGGAGCTGCATTTACATTGATTCCACTACTATGTAATGGTTTGCTTGTCCCAGCCTGGAACACCTGAGGCTGAGAAGCAGCCGGAAGGGATGATGATGCTGTAGTCTGGTCTGTATTTAAAGAGATTGTTGCCTGAATCTGGTCAACTGGTTCCTTTTGTGGTCACTGCTCTGTAGCATGAGAAGGCTGGTACAAGGGTTGAGATGCTGTATACCCCTCACTTGTGGATGAAACCAAAGGAACCTGTGTAGCTTCTGGTTGTACAGGAACTTGATTAGGTTGAGCAAGTCTAGATTCAGAATGAACCGGAGGGCAAACCAGCTGAGGCATGTCCATGTTTTGTGTCGGATTCATAGGCTGTGCAGATACAGTGGCAGGATCAAGTGTCTGGTTTTCAAAATCCAGCATTGAATCCTGTATGAAATTATAGGGTCCCTGCATTTGCGCCATAAGGTCCTGGACTCGCTGTCTTCTCACAAGGGGATCTGCCTGAGCCACTGGAGTCAAAGAGTGGGGCTCTGGTACTGAAGGAGATGCAGCCTGAGGTTGCTGCTGGAGTGAATTTACCACCTCAACTGTTTCAACTGTCCACTCATCTACCTGCTCCTTTTCACCACTGCTGAACTGTGTTTCTGCCATAAATTGTCTATTTACATACTCTGTTGATTCAACTTCACTTTGTTCGGTGTATTCTTCTGCTGGCTCAGGTTCAGCTTCAGCTACCTGGTCTTCAACTGTAGGTGCTGAGGCTGCCTCTTCTTCCTCACATAGCCCATTCTGGTGGTTGTGAGTGCTGTCAAAGTAGTTTGACTGGAAAACACACTCAACAATTTCCTTTAGAGCTTTATAGGTTGTTCCACATACAGCTTTTTCCTTTCCTTCCAGTAAGTCCCATAGGTGAATGGAAGCATGTTCATACTGCTCATTCAACCTCAAGCTCATGTCCCGTTCAGGGTCTGCTAATTCGTAGAATTCATCCAACAATGACAATTCCTCTTCAGACAATATTGGCACTCCATTCAAACCTTGCTTCAGATCAGTTCTCACCTCATCATCTCCCAGTTTGTCCAAAACATACTGGAGCTCAAGTACAGTTTTTAAACGTCTTTGTTCTGCTTCTTCTCTCATAAGCTGCTCCCGGCGCGCTGTCTTCTTTATTGTTTTCTGAATATCTTGACTTAATGCCATGAAACTCCTCTGTAATTCTTTTGCAAACTCCAAATTATTTGTGACTTCCTGGTACTTAGATACGGCATCCAGCTGATCTTGATTAAGCCTTTCCCCTTTGTTCATTCGTTCCTGGTAATCATCAAGCTTGCCCTTTTTCTTCTCCAGGTTCCAAAGTTTCTGGTCGATCACCCCGAGGATCTGCTTCATGGCCTCGGTCTGGACAGCGCCGGTGCCGGTTGCGGGGTCCTGGGAAGCCGGCGCAGCTGCCCGGCCCCCGCCGCCGCCTCACTCCCGGAGGAACCCGACGGGGGTGGCGGTCCGGACGACTTGCTGCCGCTTCCGCTGTGGCTGGTGGCCGAGGGCATCTTTAGACCGGGAGAAGAAAGAAAAAGCGGGAGGAAGGAGGACAAGAGCGGCGAGTCAGGCGGCGGAAGGGGAGAGTCGCGGGACAAAACGCGCAGCGAGCGGGAGCCTGCGCGAGCGGGTGGCATGAGCCAAAATTTTATATTCAGCCAAAATCCCTGCTGAATGCAGAGCCCAGCACAAGGTTGGATCTCACAACTGATGAGATCATGACCTGAGCTGAAACCAAGAGTCGGACGCTTAACCCACTGAGCCACCCAGGCACCCCCAAAAAGCATTTTCAAAAAGAAGAGTCTTTTTTTTTTTTTTTAAAGATTTTATTTATTTATTTGACAGAGAGAGACACACAGAGAGAGGGAACACAAGCAGAGGGAGTGGGAGAGGGAGAAGCAGGCTCCCGGCAGAGCAGGGAGCCCGATGTAGGGCTCGATCCCAGGACCCTGGGATCATGACCTGAGCCGAAGGCAGACGCTTAACGACTGAGCCACCCAGGCACCCCCAAAAGAAGAGTCTTTTAAAGCTAAAGTCTTTATGAGGCTAGAGTTGTTATTAACACCTATGCACCCAATAACAGCTTTCTTAAAACAAAAATTAGAAGAAATGTAAGGAGAAGGAAAAAAGTACATTAAGAGTAGATGACTTACACATCTTGCTCAATTCCAAACAGATCATTTAGGGGAAAATCAATAAGAACGCAGAAGACTGGGGCACCTGGGTGGTTCAGTCGGTTAAGTGTCTGCCTTCGGCTCAGGTCATGATCCCAGGGTCCTGGGATCGAGTACCACATTGGGCTCCTTGCTCTGTGGGAAACCTGCTTCTCCCTCTCCCCCTGTTTGTGTTCCCTCTCTTGCTGTGTCTCTCTCTGTCAAATAAATAAATAAAATCTCAAAAAAAAACAAAACAAAACACAGAAGACTTATGCAACATAACAATCAAGTAGATCTTATAAAAGTCTAACTCTTCACCCCAAGAATGGAGGATATATCTTTTCCAGTGTACATGGAATATTCATGAAGATTGATCACAGCTTAGGCCACAAAGAAAACTTCCACAAATTTGTAAAGAATTTGATCCTAATCAAAATGCTGTAAATTAATTACAAAGTCAGACCACCTACTTGGAAATTTAAAAACTCACTATTCAACAAACTCTTGGGTCAAAGAAGAAATACTAAGTGGAATTGTAGAATCTCTTGAAGCTAATGATAATCAGTAAACAGAAGAAATAGCATATCTATATATAATTAAATCAATAAAAATGAAACATAAAGTTAATGAATTAGATAACCAACTTAAAAAAAAAGAACAAAAATAAACCAGAAAAGCAGAAAGAAGAAATTAATAAGGATGAAGGCAAAAATTAATAAGAGAAACTGGTTCTTTTCTTTTTTAGAGCACATGAGTGGGGTGAGGGGGGCAGAGGGAGAGAGAGAGAGAATCACAAGCAGCCTCCACATGCAGTGCAGAGCCCGACACAGGGCTCTATCTCATGACCCTGAGATCATGACCTGAGCCGAAATTGAGAGTCAGATGCTTAACCGATTGAGCCACCCAGGCACCCCGGAAAAACTGGTTCTTTAAAAAAAAAATCAATTAGACAGATAAACGGCTAACCTAATTAGTAAAAATTAGAAATGTCAAAGGGAAAAGCCATCAAAACAGTAAATTAAAAAAAAAAAAAACCATAAGAAGCTACTTTGCACAACTGCATATGGAAATACATTTGAAAATCTTGATAAAATGAATGTATTTAGAAAAATATGGTTTAGGGGCACCTTTGTGGCTTAGTTGGTTAAGTGTGTGCCTTCAGCTCGGTTCATGATCCTGGAGTTCCAGGATTGAGCCCCACATCGGCCTCCCTGCTCAGCGGGGAGTCTGCTTCTCCCTCTGCCTCTCACCCCGCTTGTGCTCACTCACTCTCAAATAAATAAATAAAATCTTTAAAAAATATATGGTTTAGGAAAAAAACACAGTTGTAGAAAAATACAGTTTACCAAACTGACCCCAATGGAGAGGTATAAAAAGCCTACCCTACAATCTTCTAGATCTTCAGTTACATAGAGAAACTGATCAAAATAAATTGAACGATGTCCCTGGACACCCTGAGAAAACCCTTTCCCTAAAACATTATCACAGCAAATTAAAAAAGAAAAGCTGATGATATTGCATTTATAATCCAAGAAACAATTTTGTTTTGATGGGTGAACTCCGCCTGGAATGAGCATGAGCCAGCTACAAGAATTAACCCACGCTCTGATAAGCACTAAAGTCTACAATGTCCTTAGAATGGGAAAGACAGCCCAGTTGTTGGAAAACTGGCCCCCTGCTTCCTTAAATCCTCCTTGTAAACTCCTAGCACCTGCCCAAATGCTATACGAAGCTTCTCCCAACTCCCTCCTACGGAGGCGCCCCATGCCACGGCAGCGTGCATCCTGTTTGCCGCAGCGAGCTCAGTAAACCCGACTTTCTTTCGGACTACAGAAGGGTGCCTGGGCGTCTTTCACTGGTGGGCCCTGACGATGTCATTATACTAATCCCTTAAACTGTGGGACTCATGTAGTCAAATCTCGGAGTAATGTCCCATTCCAGGAATTCGACTCTAATGACAAAAAGGTAATTTTAAAAAAGAAATCCAATCTGTGTGAAAGAGCTCTAAATAAACCCCACCCCCAGAAGCCTTTCTTCTCCCATTGGCTTTGTTTACACGTCTGTCCATTATTTTGGAACATCTCCTTGTTACCCCAGTCTCAACACTGTTTGGCTCCCCCTCTGGTCTCCTCTCTCTTTCCATTCCTTTATGATGTAGGTCCATTTAGTCCTGTCAGCCAGAAAGACTCTTCCCCAGGAGGAGAAGGAGAAATGAGGTTTGGGTTTTAGGGTCCTTTGGGTGGGCTAGGGGAGAGGGAAAGTGACAAAATTGTCATACCAGTAGCTTTTTGTCCTCTGACTATTATAGCGTTTGACAGTTTATGAACAGGTTCCTTTTCATGGGCTAATCCTGACAGCGCCTCAACTGTGCTTATGAAAGCATGGGGACAGGACCTGTCGGCAGAAAGAGCAGCACTGGGGTCATGAGGAGTGGCCCATCATATACTTTCAAGTTGGGAGGGGGTTAGCGATAGCGTAAGTCTCTAAGGAATTTGGAAGCAAGGTTTCCAGGACCTCAAAGGGGCTAGCTATTGTTGAGAAAAGGTCATTTACTACTGTCTAGTAAAACCTTAGTCATGAGACCCTTCAGATGGATATTAGTGGGCCATATGCTTGGGTGATGATTGCCAACATATATCTCGGGGGTGGGGTAGAGATAAAGGAAATTTCCAAAGGAATTTTTATATGTTAAAGAAGACTTACAGGATCCTGGGGGTTGGGTTAAGACTGCCTTTTGCCCTTAGCAAAGTACTAACATCGAGGCAGCTGAGTCCCTAGAGGAAGGTCACTCTGCCTGTTTCGAGGACTTGTCAGTGGGCTGTAGGTAGTAAGGAAATTTAACTTTTCTTTTAACTTTGTTTCTCACATCAATGGGACCAAGAGTCTGCATTTCTGACAAGTTCTCTGTTAGAGCCCATGCTGCAGGTCCACAGACCACACTTTGAGGAGTAAGGCTTTCTATGCACCATCTTGGTTCAGCCTCAAAATAAGCTTTCATGATAGTGCTTCTCAATCCTGACCGCACCTGGGGGGATTTTAAGTCTTCTAAATCCTCAGATGCAGCTGTACTAATCATGTCACTATCCCTGGGAGTGAGGCCCGAGTGGCTCAAATACAAGCTAAAGTTGAGAACCACTGCTATATGGACTAAATAATAGTACTCTCATTTTACAGCTGAAGAAACTAAAGCTTAGAGACATTACTTTATCTAAATTCCTATTCATAGACAATGATGGAGGTAGGACTTGAACCCAGATCTGTCTGGCTTCAGAGTCTACTCCCATTCCCACTCCTCCATATGGGCTCCCGCAAGGACAACACTAACTTGCGATCTATTATTGTTTACTGAGGAAAGAAGACCCACACACATTAAACCGTTAGAAAACAACCCTGGCCCGCAGATGCCCCAGCGCTAAGACTCTCAGGATGATTTATGGCCCTTTAGCACCAGGATGGTAGAAAGCTCTCCCTGGGGCTGAAGGTAACTGCTGCCCCCTCCCACCCAGCACATGCTCCGGAACTGACTATTCACCATTGGTTCTCTGGCTTTCCAATAAATGCTGACGGGTCAGAGTATTTTCTCTCCCATTGAGATTTTAAGTGTAGGAGAAAGCCAGGTGCATTAAATCAGTGTAATTAGCCCTGAAGTGCTTGTGATTGAGAAAGTGGATTCCCAGAGAGAGAGAGACTCTCCAAGGCTTTATCAAAGTGGAATTGTGAAGCCTTGGGCTGGGCGGAAGCCAAATGTCTGCCCCCTTCTGATGGGAAGTAAAGGATTCCCTGAGGGACGGATGTGCTGGCAATGGCTGGGCTTATTCTCCCATCTGGGGATTCATTACTGAGGGCTTTGCTTCAAAGGCAGATAACAAGCTAATCAAAAGGGGAAGGGAAGCCCTGCAAATCATGCTGCCTAATGAGTAATGCCACGAGAGCAGGTGAGATGGCAGAACAGGTGGAGCGATGGGGTGGGGGTGGGGTTGTCTTCTTGGTCATGGTGCTGGCTGACCTCTGACTCTGAACCAAAGAATCAGTAGAGAAAACAATCCCAGGATAAGAGTATTTTTGAAGTCAGTAATGGCACAACCCTCTGATGCCAGCCACCTCCCTCAATCTTCTTTGTCCCATCACCATCTCATCACTCCAGAGACTGAGACCAATGAGCCCCTATTCACCAAGAATGCCACCTAGGACCAAGGTCAAATGAAGAGGTCATATGAGAGGCTTCCTCTGGCACACGTGCCTCAGAGAGAACACAGAAATGCACTGTTTGCCCTCAAGAATTCAACTTTTGCTTTATGCTTGAAAATAGGTATTGGGGGTATCAGCAAACTGAATGTTGTTGTTTGTTTGAGCTGATAAGCTCCGTAGGTCGGGAAAGACATGGCAAATGCAACAAAGGTAATTACATTTGTCTGGTTTTCTTTCTCCGCATATGA